AGAGGATGGTGCTGGGGAAATGCCACCAGGAGGCTCCGACAGACCCCAGGGCCCGCTATTCAGCCAGAAAATGGAACAAGCCACCGAGACATACAACATAAATGAGTCTCCAATCACCACGTGGCGCCAAAGATGCCAGAAAGAAGACCGTCCTGCATGATGCCGTTTCCGTGGAGTTCCGTTGAGGCAAAACAAGGGGACAGATAGAAACCAGACAGTGGCTGCCTGGGTGGCGAGAAACTGCAGCTGAGTCCAGTCGATGCTTTTGGGGAGTCCTGATATAGAGGGGAGGGGGTTGGGGGCAGAGAGAAATGGGGTCACGAGCTGGGCGCCCTTAATGGAGACGGGTCTGCGTTAGCGTGTCTGCACTCTACCAGGACCGACCTGGGAAAAAGGGAACACTGATGACAGGGAAAGGAGACCAGAGCAGCTGTGGCTGAGGCAGGCGAGTGGGGCCCAGACCTGGTGGGCAAGTGGGGGGCTATGCTTGGCGGAGCGTGGATGGCACCCCTCCCCTCCGCCCAGTGACTAGGCAGAGGCGGGGCCTGGGAAGGGGACTGCCCTTGATTTAGAGGCGGGACCTTTTCAAGAAAGGATGTGACACAAGAGAAACGCCTGTCTCCACAGTTCCCAGGGGGTGAAGGTAATATTTTTAAAATAACCTTTCTGTAAAACAATTTTATTTCCTCGAACATGAGCGAGCTTGCGTGCCCAGAATAAGAGCAGAGGAGCCTTCGCCTCTGCTATGGCCAGAGCCAGCGTTCCTCACAGCAGCCATGCAGCCGGAGTCCTGGGTGTCCACCGGGGCCGACCAACACCCACAGTCACCCAGAAGGACACTAACAACACACCGTGAAGCTGAGACCAACGCCAGAGACACCTCCACGGATGTCTGTTAAATACAGAGATGTCTCAATATACAACTTACAGATCAAACATGACAGCCACTGGCCAGACGGACCGAAATCCTACAAGGTCAGGGCCCGACCACGCCGCCCAGCACCGGGCCCACACTCTAGGAAAGCGACAGTGCCCCCTTCGAGACTCCACGCGGACCCTCGGGAGCCAGGGAGGGGGGAGCGAGCGGCCTCATCAGTGCCCTCTGAAAGCCAACTCAATGAAAGATCTTTCACCACGAACATCTTTGTCTTCTCACGAGCTTCTTCAGAGGGGAAGCCAGCAATGAATCGTTAATTCCACAAATCACCAACCCTATGGGAACACAGGGGAATCTGAGTGCTGCATTTTAAAAACAAACACACTGTACAAAAGGCCTGCTGGGCCTGTGGTCTCGCGCACTCAGGCAGAGCTGGGGTTCTGTCGAGGCGGCCTGACTGCCCCCACCTGCTGGCAGGAGCCACTGCCCAAGCCCAGTCACTGGACCTTCACTGGCTGCCTTTGCTGTGTTCAATCCAAACCTTTCCTTAGAATCCCACAAACCTACGCAAGGACGCATCCAGCTCCCTTACTAATGCGAAGGCTCTGTCTCCACACATGCAGAGAGGCCGGTGGCGTGCGGCTGGCCTGCATGGGTCTCGGGCACGCCAGGACATCATTAGGCATGGCACCCCCTGCTGTGACTCCCTCTTTGCTGTTCCTGTTTCCATTCTGCGCTTCCCAAAAGTCACAATTATAGCCTATTCACCTCCAAGTCCCAGCACAGTGCAGAGAACCAAGCACTCAAAAGGCCCTGAGCACATATGTTCTGAAAAATAACTGAGTGGAGCTTCCAGGCTCAGTCCTTCCCCATCTGTGCGACGTCTCTCCTCACTGGACACTCCGACACTCCTTCCTTCTGAGGGGCGTCTCTGCCCCGCCCGGAATGTCGGTCACACTCACCTCTAGCACACAGGGCAGGTGGCACTGATGCTATGTGTCGTCCGTCTGAGGCTAGGCCATCAAAAGGAGAGGCTCCGTGGGCTCGCACTCTCCTAGGTCGCCTGCTCTGGAAGAAGTCACCCAAAGCCACGTGGATTCTCAGGCCCCCTGTGGAGAGGCCTGAGGTCTCCTGTCGAACGCCAGCACCCACTTGCCCGCCAAGTAAGTGAGCCACCCTGGAAGTGACCGCTGAATCCCAGCCCATCCTTCAGATGAGTGCAGCCCTGGCTGCTGACTGCAATCTTATGAGACACTCCGAGCCAGAACCACCCGGCCGAGCCATTCCCAGATTCCAATGCACAGAAGATATGAGAAGCCACATTTACTGTTGTTAAACCACTAAGCTTTGGGGAAGCTTGTTATACAACAATAGATGACTAGTGTGGCAACCATGAAGGATTCAGGTGTTGTTTTATATGAGAGTGCAAGGGATTTTCTTAATAACAAGAGTATTTTATAGTTATGCCATGCTCATAATAAAAAGTTTGTAGTTAGTGTTCTACAGAATACAACCATAATATTCATAAATGGTGATTAATGTACAAATTTAATCTATACCACCTTAAAATCTAACAACTACATTCAATAAGTATTGAGATGTGACACAGAACAATATAATTCTTTTTGGAGGTTTTTTTTTTTTAAAAAGTCTAGAACAGTATCCATCAAAACCTTAACAACAGCTTTCTCAGGGTGAAAGTATTATTGTTTTTTCTTTTTTGTTCTCTTCCTTTTTCCCAAAACCTACGACAATGTATGTATTACTAGTATCCTGTTTTTAATTTAAAAAATGTTATAATACAAAAAAGCCAGCAGCTATGTCTTATTGGTGTTTCTGCCCTGATATCTAACACATGAAGTGGTACATAGTAGATGCTCAATAAAAGTGCACTGAATGACCTTGAGGTATAGATCCTACCTACCGGACAGTAGCTCTATAAAGGGATTCCAGGATAATGAGAGCCCAGAAAGCTCAATGCTGTGAAAAGGCGACAGTCAATTTTCACAGGAAATAGGCTACTAAGTATCGAAAATCATTTCAACATTGTATTCTTAAGACACAGTAACCACTATTCCCTTTGAAACTAAGTATTTTGAGTGATTTGTTATAAATTTATAATGACAGTTGTGAACACCTCCTTTTTTTCTGGCATGAGAACAGTCTGTTGATTGCCTTGGTGCTTAAAATAGCATCTAAGTGTCCTCATAATAGCATGTCACCTGTAAACAGATTTCAAGCCAATGCAAATTAACAAATGGCGAACAGATGGACCAAGCACGGACTTTCGTCAGGAGAGTGTTAGCAACACACACTTTTTGGCTCCAGTCTTACGGGACCATTAGAAAGTCTTTCACTTCTCGCCAATGTCCTGCCTCAGAGACAATCCATGCAGAGAAAATGACAAGTTACAAGGCCCATTAGACTTCTGAGAGCTGGGAGTTGAGGTTTACAGAATCGCCACATCAACATATGAGAAAACAGACCGAGTCATGTTCCTTAGGAAGTTTTCTGCCGGACGGTGAACACTCTGCCTTGCATCACTCAAAGAACCAGTCCCTTAGTCTGAAAAACAAGGCACCTGTGCCTGCAGCAGACAAAAAATAGCTTGGTGGAGGCTGTTTGGTTATGTTCATTCTATTCTGGGAGCAAATGTGAATCGTGAAGAAAACCTGAAAGTCATAGAGACAGTGGTAGAAGAGTTTCCACCGGTGAGAAGAGGTCCCCAGCCATCCCCTGAAACACCCCCAGCTCCTCACTGGCCTTTCTTTTCCTTACTCTCCAAGTTTCCACCATGTCACCTCCTCAGAGAGGCCGTTTCTGACCATCTGGGTTTAAAAAGTTTCCCCCAGTCATCCTTACCACCCTCGTCTTCTCTTCCTAAGCACCAATCATAACCAGAAATTACTATATTGTTGTATGTATTCATTTGTTTAGGGGTGCTTTTGTTTGGTCTTTTTCTATCAGTAAACAAAATGCTTTGGGAAGATGGGACCACGTCGGTCTTGCTCATGACTTTATCCCCAGGGCCTAGGACAGTGCCTGGTGGATAGTAGGTACAATAAATATTTGCTAATCAAACAGAAAATAAGTGAAGGCAAAATATGTGAGTTTCATCTGCAGACACTTCTCTGGACTGGAAATTTCAAAATGTAGTTTGTACCTGAGGATGTAAATGAAATAACTGAGGGGCACAATGGGCGAGGGCGTGTGTTTCGAGTCCACATCAAGCCTGTGGGGAGGCCTGCCCCTTTGGGGGAGTGCACGCTGACAGAAAAGCCATGAGCAAAGACTGCTGTGTTCACATTTCTGAGTCCACATCACTGAGTGAGCCCTGGTTCTCATCTCCGGGGGCTCCTGGGGCAAAGCCACCCAACAAGAAAATGAATGAACTGACTGTGGCATTTTAGAAGGAATATTACACGGCTACAAAAAAGAACAAACAACCTAGATGAATCTAACAGATGATGAGGGGGGAAAAAGCGGATGCAAAGTATTTCCTATTGTACGATCCATGAATACGAAGTTCAAGAACGAATGGGAACAGTGTTAAACTTGGGGAGGGGGGTGGCACGTGTGTAGACTGGGATCATGAGGAAGGACCCTGTGCGATCCAGGCCCTGGCGGCCACATGGCTTGATCTGGGGAGAGCTACACGGAGGTGAACATGTGTAAAAAAGTACCCAGCTGTATACTTCATGAACCTCACAGTCATCTCTCCTGCTGAGAAAAAGAAGGGCACATGTATTCCTATTTAGAAAGGAAACAGGCGAGCCCAGCTCCAAGTCTGATGCCAGCTCCCGGTTGTCCAGTTGGTGGATTAAGGACAACTGCACGTTCCCTTTGCCTGCCGCGGGAACGCGACCAGGACACGGAGAGCTGTGAAGGGTCTTAAAATCCTAGGTGGAAAAGTCACAAAACGCATACTCTGAACTGTATTATAACTCTTCACTTAAGATCTATGCAAAACATGTTACCCACATGCTAGGTTTCCCTTCTAACAGATACTTTTTTAAAAGAAAAGGAAAAAACACACAATCTCGCAAAAAAAACGTTCAATTAGCCAAAAAGCAGCACAGAGAAGAGCTGGCCGCGGACGGCGCGCCTGCTCGGGCTTACTCACTGCGGAGGCAGGACGAGGGTGGTGGGCTGCGCCTTGGGCCTGCGCTTGGCGGAGACTCCCATCTGGTTGGCGGAGCGCTTCAGCGACTGCTGGTTCAACAGGCCGGACGCCAGGCCCGCGTGGTACTGCAACTGCAGAGACGCCGGACAGGGAGACAGGTAAGGTGCGGGCCGGGCAGAGCGGCACGGGGCCAGGACCCCACAGGCCTTACCCCTTCAGGTATTTTAAATCATTTCTAACACAGCTGCTAATATTTTGCTTCAAGGGATGTATCAGAAGGAGAGAGAAAAACAGACGAGAACATGAATGAGGCTGCTCAGCACAGGGTCACACGGTGGGGAGCCTGACAGGATCCAAATGGCAACAAGGGCTGGGAGGCGGCTAGAACATAAAGAGGAGTTCACACCATTTCGGTGAATTGTAAAAACAGGTTACATTGTGAGCAGAGAGACACTTAAAAAGATGCTCTCTAAAATGTTAATAGTGCATCTCTAAGTAGTAGAATTAGAATAATTTTTACTTTATATTTTACTACCATTCATATATATGCTTTATGTAAATAGTTTCAAAGCCAGTGTCATTTTTTATAAAAAGATCCACTAGTTCTTAGAGATAAGTTAGTTCTGGGAACTCCTGCTACTGTCATGTCCTGCTTATAATAAAAACCATGTGCTCGGAGACCACTGCAATAAACCAGGGGGCACAAGGCTGCTTACAAACAGATTCAAACACAGGCGGGCTCAGGGGTGAGAAGCTCGGGGCCTCTGCTTTCAGTGGTTAAGACACAAGTGTCAACCATAAGCTCAGCAGGACAGCTTAGGACAATGGATACAAATGGATACAGACTCCATGAAGACCAGGGATGAAGTATTTTCACTCCTTTTACACATAAATGGATAAGGTAGGGGTAAGGAAGCAGCACACTTTTTTTTTTTAAATCCTCAGGGAAGATCTTTTTTCCATTGGAGGGAGGGAGAGACAGAGAGAGAAACACTGTCGTGAGAGACACATCGATTGGCTGCCTCCTGCACGCTCCCCAACTGGGCCGGAGCCTGCAACTGAGGTACGTGCCCTTGGCCGGAATCGAACCCAGGACCCTTCAGTCCAAGGGCTGGTGCTCTACCCAGTGAGCCAAGCCTACCAGGGCAATGAGTTCTGATAATGTGTACCTCTGTAAAACTGCCAGCCAAAACAAGCTATAGAAATTTCCCATCGCTGCAGAAACTTCCCCTGTGCCCCAGTGCAGACAATCCCCCTCACCCCGACTCCTACAACCAGGGTCTTTTGATTTAAATACAACAAATTCTCACTCGTTGACAAATGGAGCTTATATCCAACTTGACATGTGATAGTGGCTCCTAGTTTCCCTTTTTAATCCCACACTTTTGTACTTCAGATCATAAGAGTTGTCATCAAGCTGTCGATAACAGAATGATCCTTGAAAGGTATCTGAATTCAAGCAGATGTAAATAAAACCTCCAAGTGTGAAAATGACAAGCTAAGAATGCGGAGGAGACCCCTCACGACATCCGGTACGGTTCTTCCCCCTCCCTCAAGTTAAGCAAGGTCTTTCAGACGCTTACTTAGAACTAACTGAACAACAAACAGTAATTCATTCTGAAGCTCTGAATCAATTTCTTTTCAAAATGCTCTTCGAAGGATAGATTTCCTTTGCAGAGTCAGCTACACCCCAGCTCATGGTAATGAAACTGGTGACCACCGTTTAAAAGGGGCTGGGCCCTGGATGCAAAGGGTAATAACGTTCTGAAAAATAAATGGCCTCACCTAAGCCATCGGGCTGCACACAAATAGAGAATGAAGGAAAACAAAACCAAATGAAATGATCTGCTTCTTGCAAGTGGCTATAAAAATGAAGATCTCCAGTCACCCAGTAAGACTGAAATGTCTGTTTGGAGCATCCATATTGCTTTTTAACAGCCTCTTGATTTACGTGGTCGATTTGCTGCGGGAGCCTTATGGCTGCACAATACAAGACAAAGATCTATCACGTTCATAATGGAAATGGAGCTCCTCTCATGGTGGAAAAGGGAGGCATAATTTGGTTTTAACAACTCATCTTAGACCAATGAATTCTGCTCAGGTTTGTTTTTCTCCTACAGGGTTCTTAAATGGGGATCAATGGAAGCGAGGGACAGTACAAGTTTGAAAGACAATGTTTCAAAATGTCAGCTACTTGGTTTCGATCGTCCCCACCAGAATGTGCAATGAGTGCAATATGCACGGGGCTTTATGGAATTAAAGGGAAAGACAGCTTGGCAGGGGTCCCCCACTCAAGGCGGCAGCTCCCTCTGGCTCTCTGCTCTGTCTTGTTGGGGTCCATGCAAGCTCAGCCATTCCAGCCCTGCTGACTCCTCGAGTGGAAGAGCCTGCTAACTAGGCAGAGGGGCAGGGCAGTTTTGCCCACCTGGCATCATTTCGATCATTTGCACAAACAAACAAACAAACAAACAAACAAACAAAAGCAAAGCAAAGCAAAGCAGCAGAGATGCACGCGGGCTGCTGCTGCCTTTGAAAGGGTTCCTTCGAAGCCTCAGCCATCTCAGGCAGCCTCCATGGACCCTGCATCCCGAAGGGCACACGTGGGTGGAAGAACTCTTCTCCCCAAAAACAAAACCTGCCCTGAAAGCTGACTTGCGGTGATTAAGCGGCATTTGTTAATCATGTGTACTTATCCCAGTTTCCAGGAACACGGCTCCGGCTGTCAGGATCTATAAGGGGCCCATTAAATATTTACCGAACCATCTTTATAATGGGAGAAAAGGTCAAAGTTAATAAAACTGACAGGCAGCTCCTGTCCAACTGGATTTATACATTATTTAAGCACCAAATACTCCATTCTACAAAACAGTTTAGGTCTGAAAAGACTCCTGAACACGTTCACTCAGCCAATGGATCTAAAACAGCAGCAGGAAGCTCGGAGCTAACCCGCAAATAAACATTAAGCACACACCACTCTCCAAAATACTGCCGTGAGTTTTCAATTACAGGTTCTGTAATATTTCTATAAAAATGTATTTCAATAAACATACTTTGCTCCAAATATCTGTAGCATGGAAACAACTGTTTCAAAAAGCAACTTATTAAAGTTCTAATGCGATGTTTCTATCCAAGATCCACTCTCCGCTAACCAGCAAGAACAACATGAAAAGGGGAAACGTGAAGTGACCTGTTCTCTTAACCCCCACATCTTACAGCTGGGAGGAGAGTGTTTAATGCGGCCGGGGTCAGGGGGTCTTTACTAAGTGGTAAGTTATCACTCGGTAATAACAGTGATTTCAGTGTTTTCTGGATTTTGAGAACATTTCTCTCAGTTCCAACTCTGCTGTCTATTAATGTCCACCCTGTATTTCCTATGACTGACCTAGGATTTTTCTCTCAGTTCTCAGCCTAAAGCCCTTTCTAATCCATTATGTCTGCTAGTTACCTCTGTACATGGGAAAATTTCAACAACTCATAAAGACCTGGGGAAAACACCATTTAGGATTAGGAAAACCTTGATTTGCCGAATAGTTTTAAATGAAGGCTGTTTTAATATAATTTAACATGCAAACGTGCCAAGTGCTGCCAGGTAGGTGCCTAGTAGACTCTAACGGCCAGACTAGGAGCCTGTGTAGGGAGATGACACTGGAGACGTGCTGCTGGGCTCTGCTACTAAGAGTTGCGTGAGCTTACGCCTCCCGTCCCCCTACAGAGCACTTGCGAATCCTCTCCCTCCATCCCCCTGCTCTGAAGTCTGACTCCTTGCAATTTTTAAGGGAGTCACATGGGAGTGTGGTTTCACCCTAGAGTAGGGAGGTAATGTCCCTACAATTTCACACAGTAAGTTAACAAACCTTATACCCCTGGGTAACCTAGGTCTTTACAGAATCTGTTTTTAAAGAAGTCCAAACTATTAAGGCCCAAATTCAATCAGCTTTAATATGATTCGAATTACAAATACCATACACTGGAAGGAAATTATGTGAAAGGAAATTATAAAAAGGATTCAAATGCAGTTTCGGACTGAAATCTTGGGTTCAGAAAATCAGGTGAGCAACCACCCCTCCCCTCCTCAGTTCTCTACTTGCTTCAAGTCTCCCACGTTGTTCTGAAGGCTTCTACCTGCTCCAAGACTGACAGAGGACATACTCTGCAGTGGACAGAGTCTGAGAAGAAAGCAGAAGGAAATCCATCACAGGGATCGCTTCACTGCACTCGTGACGCCACCAAGGCGCTGGTGAAGCAGTGGCGTTCAGTCAGGCCCCGGACATAAAGCCACAGTGTGCGCGGAACCTCCCTGGGGCCCAGGGCACAGAGGCTCTTATGCAGTGTCACCTGGCCCTCACCATATGGCCTGAATCCCACTTTAAGAAAACCTGACATTCAAAAACCTCAAGACGTACAGGCCAGATCAAGCAGGCCTGATTCCTGCCACTACAAAGACCACTACTTCCTTCTCCAGCATCCACCAAAAGCTACTTGGGGGGAAGGGGGTCCTCTTACCCCCCTCCTCTTACCCTGAAGGCACGGTTCACTTCATTTTTAAGTCACTTTACGTATAATGACATGTAAGCTTCTAGGGAACACTAACAAGACACGTGGACACTTCTAGTATCTAAACCCTCTGACCAAAGAATGAGATTTAACTAAGTCGTAACAAGTCCTGGCTGGCTTAGGCCAGAGGGCCCACGGAGAGAAGAGAGGACGAGGCCAGGCCCCCAGCCAGTTTCCCTTCCCCAGGCACAGAGCCCCTGCCTGTGGCGGCACCTGGCACCTGGGAAAGGCGGCCTGTGTTGTTTCTTGGTCTGACTGCGAAGGCAGCCGCCTAGGGAGAGCTGTGGGCAAAGGCCTTGCTACGGATTAACTCTGTTCCCTACCACGTCCAGGACAATGCAGTGCACACAGGTGACGCGAACGAACCTGCCAGCTCGTGAGTGGACTGGCAGGTTAGCACGACTGCGGTGGCCTGGCCTGACCTGTCACTGCAGCCAGTCTAGGGAACGAAAGGCTCCGTGAGACAGTTCTCCCCAGGCTGGCCTCCTAAGGAAGCACACACACTGCCGTGCAGGTGCTCTGTCATTACAGAGCCACGACGGAACCCTTTCTCCTCTCATTCCCACCGCCCCAAAGG